ATAGTTGAAGCTTGATGACTAATCATGTAAATACCCTAAAGTCCAGTGACTAAAAATAATTTTCCCAAGCTAAAAATCAACAAAATTAGGCAGCCACCTTTGAATTCTCCTTCAGCCGCCCATATTGCCCACCTTTGAATTCAACAAATTCAGCCTAATTTGAATTCAACAAATTCAGCTTTGAATTTTCAAATCTCCCACTTGAATACTGATTTTAATCTGTCTTCACACCTTTATCAATACAGCAGCATTTCTGTTCTCGTTATTCTATCCTGTCAACTGAAGCTGAACACAACTTCAATTTGTCTGTAGTCACCGCCCTGTAAACCCACCTGTTATTGGGCAGTTTTTCCGTGGTTGCCTTGTCCCTCAACGTCTTTGAAGGATTGTTCCTCACTTGAACATCCTCGACAAGCCCTTGCTTGACCTTTCTCTTATGATGGTCTCTGAATCCATGTTCTCTACACGAACATGCTCGGCAAACTCCTTGGACATGGCTAACTCCTCTTGCACTTGGCTTATACTTGCCTTGAAAAAAATTAACTGTATTGAGCCAACTCTCAACTCCCCCTCGATCCTGGGTTCATCCTCTTCTCTGGAGAACTCGATCCTAGGCTCATCCATCACCTTGGATGACTCGGCTCCCCTTGGGTAATCTTGCAACACTTCTGGCATCTTAAGTCTGAGCCCTCTCATTGCTCGACTCTTACCCTCGGTTTAGCATCTTTGACACTTGAACTTGTGTCAAGACTGCACACATCTTCTCCAGACTCACCATCTGGTTCATCATTGAATGGATTTTCTTTGCCACTCGAGGAACAACATTCCTCATCCTTTGACTTGCCTTCATCGTGGAATCTCTTGCTGCTACCCTCGGCTTTAGGCTTTGCTTTGGAATTCTTGTTCTTCTTGACTCCAAATTCTTTGATGGACTCGGTGATTGTCAAAGCTTTAAACAACTTCGTAACTTCTCTTCGCTCCAACACTCTATTTGTCCATGGCTTCAATCCGAACATGAAGGTGAAGAATCCATCTTCTTCAGTCAAACTTGGGACTTTGAGCATGGGTTTTCTGAATCGACTCACATACTCCTTAAGTGCCTCTTTATGCCTGAGACGCCTCAACTTGAACCACGCCTCCATCCTGACATATTGTGAGCGGACTTGCTCACATTGCTCACATTTCATGTAAATGATGCATGGCATTGATTTTTGGCACCTCTACTTTCATATCTATTGATTTGTTAAAATTTGATTATTGATTGGGAAATGGTAGATTTGAATTTTCTCGAATGGCACCTTTACTTTCATATCTATTTGATTGTTAAAATTTGATTGATTGGGAAATGGTAGATTTGAATGTCAGCCCCAAATACATGATTTTCGTTCTAGGATTGTATCCTTTGGCAAGTTCAGCATGTGATTCCAATAAGATATTTTTTCATTCATTGCTATTGGAACTTGACACACAGTCATGTTACAGGGATAGTAATGGGCCGGGTCGAGTTTTTTGCCCACCCAAACTCGATTCAAAAATTAGATAACAAAGTACCTTTGTGCATCATTCAACTATTACTATAACTTAATGGTCGAACCATTAGGTAATATGTGAAAATCTTGAACAGAAGCAGTCACAGGCAAAAGAAAAGAAATTTATTATTGTCGGTGGAAAATTATAAGAAAGATTGCAAAAAACATACTAACCCTAGACAATAGTGTACGTATTCTAAGTCTTAAGTTTTACATCTATACTATCAGTTAATTTTTTCAGATGGAACCAAATAAAGTTATAAGAAAGTTTGCTTATTACATGCATTATTGCAGGCCCGAAGCCTTAAAGAAATTAGCAATATGGGAAATTCTGGTGGATTATTCACATTGTCCCCTCAATTTTCCCTTCTTAAGACAATTGGATTGTTGTCATGGTTTCATCTTTTTTGGTGCTTAACATTTTAGTTATAGGAACTTATGGATATATATATATATATATATATATATGGTTAGGATCCACTTACACCCAGGGTAAAATTAAGGGTTTTACACATTTTTAGGATCGTTGAATGAGTGAAATCAAAGGCCGAGATGAACTCTTTGTTTTTCTTTCTTGTTTGTTTTTTCTTTCTTTTTTCCAGTGAATATCTTCTTATTTCCTACTATTAATCTAAGCCTTTGATTTCACTCATCCAACGGTCCTAAAAAAATTTTAAACTCTTAATTTTACACTAGTTGTAATTGGATCCTGCCCCATATATGATTCACTTATACCATATAAAACTCATTAATTTTATATAAAAATATAATTATTAGATGAACGACTCGTATTAAAACTTTATGCATTACTATTATTATTTTTCTTTAATTTTCATATAATAAAATTTTAATCTCGTTCATCTATTTAGATTCATCTAGTTATAATATTTTTTTAAAAATTAATGAATTTTATACTATGTAAGTATCTGCCCTATATATATAAATCTTTTGGGTGCAAAACTTGTCTGTTATCAAAACTAATTTTATGCATCTTTGTGATTGCTTGAAATACATTTGTTTTTGTTTCACCGATTAATTGACAATTTACTTGATGTGGGGTTAGACTAATGGCAATCATATTTGTTCAAGTTTACTTGGTTTCGAAATATGAATTTTCAGTGTTGTTCAGACATATCCATTGACAAATGAGTAAACCAAACCTGTTCATATCAAGGGCTCCCGTTGGGGGCCAAGATAAAATTTTGGGTAAAGTATACAAATGGTCCCCCAATATAGAGTGTTGCTTTATTGAGTTCCCAACTACTAAAAGCTACAAAATGATCCTATAACTATATAGTGTTGCTTTGCTGAGTCCCTCGGTTATTAAAAGTTATCAAATGGTTACTCGACCATTCATATGTCCTAAACTCGTCATTTTTAATAAAAAATAACGGCCTTCTGAGTTAGATGTTAACGTGTTGACTGAGATTGATAGTCATTTGAGATTTTGTGATTGCATTTTAGCATGTCTCTTTAGTAGATTAACATCTAGCTCAGACTGCTGTAAGTTTTAACAAAAAATGATGAGTTTGAAATATGAATAGTCAGGTGACCATTTTATAACTTTTAATAATCGGGAGACTCAACAAAGCAACATCCTATAGTCGGAAGACTATTTTGTAAGTTTTAGTAGTCAAGAGACTCAAAAAGCAATGCCTTATAGTTGGGGCATTTGTGTACTTTAGCCTAATTTTTTTGGGTTGAAAGCATAAAATTTTCATTAAAAATGACTTTAATTGAGTTATAATTCTTTTTGGAGAACTATAACGAGATTTTAACCATATGAATCAAGGGACCAAAACCCTCTCTCCACGTGTTTGCTAAATATGCTTTAATTTAATTTCAAGCTTAATTTCCATAACTTTTGCATATGCTCAATTAGGTTGTAAATGAGACGAGACATATCGTGAGTTACTCGAGATCGACTTGAAGGCTTGATAATACTCGATCGAATGAATTCGACTCAAGCTCGACTCGGGTTCTTAACAAGCCGAACGAGCTACTCGATTTCGACTCGAAAAGGTCGTGAGTATCTTGAAAATATATATTAAGATTTTTTTTTTAAAAATAAATTATTAATAATATTAATATTATGTATTGATTTTTTTTAAATACAGTAAGATTTCATGTATTTCAGGTTAATGTTCGAGTTTGAGGCTTCAATCGAGTTAAGTTTAAGATTTTTTTTCATTCGAGCATTTTCAAATGCTTATGAGCTTCAGTTCAGGATTTCGAGTTCGAGTCGAGTTTAAAAATTTTAAGTTCACAATTTTTGAGTCGAGCCGAGCTCAACAATACTCGAGCTCGACTCGGCTCGTTTACACCCGTATGCTCAACGTCTCACCGAATCCCTTACTTTTACTTTGTTAAAGAAAATAAAAGCGAAGGAATAAAGACCACGTTCCACCATCAAATCAAACGCCATATGGTAGACCAACCCATTAACTAGGAGTGATTCTAATAAACTTTTGGATTAATTTGAAAATATTTAAGGTCTTACTCGTAGCATCACTGATATTTATTTTATGAAATTATTAATAAGATTAAATTTTTTGTGTCTTTCTTGAAACATTCTCATTAAAGGATATACTGATAAATGTTTCAATTCCTTTCCTCGATATCGTAAATGATACAATAATCAATTATAATAATAAAAATACAAATAGTCGCTATAAGGGATAAAGAGCACGTCAATACGGTCAAAGAAACATACAACGAGGCAAAATTAAAATCTTCCGAAAGACTATTTTAAAATCCTCCTTACTCTTTATTCATCAATGCCTCTTCATTCACTAATATACAATTGGATCTTTCGTGTTACTCCTACAAAAATTTATTACAAGAATGATCTTGATTAGTTTTTTATTTACAATGTCGAGATTAAATTTATTCTTCCATCAGATCACTGCTATTGACGAAAATATTTAATATTAATGTATGATAATATGGGAAAAAGATGGTGTCATGGTCATGGATTACTTTACTCCGATCCCAATGTTGAATCGCCTGTTTCTTTTTGTCTTCCAAATAGCCTGCAAGCCTTCAACTTTGACTGCTTGTTTAAATATTTAAATAACCTTTAATTTTTGTGTCTAATCTTTCCGGTATTATATATAAGTTGCGAGTTCAATTTTAATGTTATATTTAAAACTGTTATTTTTAAACTATAAATATTTGAAATAATCAAATTAAATATAAATTAAATATATTTACATAGAATTTAATCCCCTTAATATTATTGTTTTAATTTCACCGAAATTAATCTCACCCCAACCAATGATTGATGAGTAAACAAACGCTCTCACAGTACCCAAAGGCAGCCAAAATCCCACTTTCTCTCTTTACAAAGCAAGTGCAAGTGCTTCTTTGGCGCAAGTTAAAGAAGCAGCAGGAATATCTTTAGTTATCCCTCTTTAATAAAGAGGTTTACCCCTTTATTAAATTGAAGCATTGCACTTCAAGTCTGGAAATATGTCAGTCCTGTACTTTGTTAGACGTTAGATTTAATCCCTTTATTTAAGAGCTTAAAAATTTGGATTATCTTATTTATTCTAGTCTAATGGATTACACCGTTAGTATTTCTTGTCGAATTTACTTGCTATCAAAGTGCGTTCATTGAATTTATAATGATTTAGTTTGAAGTTAATATGATTCAGCAAAACAGTACTGAATGATTCAACATCAAGTACATTCTGAATCATTCAGAGCTATTATCAAACATCATGTCACATTCATAGCTAATTCATACGAGTCTCTAAATCATTCTGAAGTAAACAAACAACCCTAAATCTCAAATTTTATATTAACCAATTCATATTTACTTAAAGCCAGGGTAGATAAATTTAAATTATATTTAGATATTTTTTTTTGTATTTTTTTATTAAAAATCTTTTATCCTTCTAATTTTTTATGAATTTGTCTCTCCATTAAAATTTTATAAGTTCACCCCTAACATAAAATTCTACATCCATCCTGCATAAAGGGTAAAGAATATTAGAGAGTCCCTTAACTATAATCAAATGATCTTTTGGTTACTAAATTTTCATAAGTTATAAAATGATTACTAAATTTAAGACAATTACAAAATGATCACTAAATTTATAAATTATTACTAAATAATTGTTAATTTTATCGAAATTACAAAATAATCATTAAATTTATTGAACTTTTATATTTATAACATTTTTTATGGTTTGATAAATTTAATGATTTTTTTGTAAAATTTTAAAGTTTAATGGTGAAAATAATTATTTAATGTAGTTCTTGTGAATGGTCACTAACTTCATCCTTACTTAAATGAAGCTCTTGTGACAAGCAAATGTTCTTTACTTGTTTAAAGAGTTTCCTATCTCTCCCTCTTTATCTGCACTCAAAGAGCAAGAGTGCACACATTCATACAAATAATCCAAACCCTTTATCTCCTAAAGAATCTATCTCCTCGTCCATTAAACTCAGACCAAAGTATCATCGATGAAACACACAGCCCGTTAATGTACCCGAACAGTGTTAACTCAGGGCAAGCACTGCCATCTCAAAGCTCCACTCTGATGGATCCTTCGGTACGGTTTTCATAGTGCTTGCGGTGATCATCGTTATATCATCGATCGCTTGCTTCCTCGGAAGACTCTGCAACCGTATGAGCCAGACGAAACCCGCGAAGCAGAACAAAAAACATGATCCCCGACGCAAAGGGAACGACATAGAGTTGGGGTTCGATGGTCCGATTCGTACGGCGAAACCAGTCGGCGTCGACGGGGTGACCAAAGCAAAAGGTTCAAAATGCTTGGGAATGAAGATCCTAGAGGGTTCAGATCATGCCTGGAAGCATGGGGATTTCAAAGGGTTCAAAATACATCCAAATGGTGATCTTAAAGATTAAAATGCATGCAAATGGAATCTAAAGGGCAAAGTAAACATGTTGATCATGGCAATCTAAGGGGTTCATTATATATATATAGATCGAGTTCGGGACATATTACTAAAGATCCTAGATACGAATTCTTTATCATTCTACTTGTGATTCAGTCTATCGATAGTATACTATGCATTTGTGTTTCAAAAAATTTTAGGCTTTTGTAGTTCACTAGATTGTTGTTTTTATGATGTTGCACTTGTACTAGTTTTCTGTGTTATGTTGATCTTTTTACATGGTAAAATGCATTAGTGCTTGACCCCAGCTATATACTGTCTTATCATTCAAAACTGAAACCATCTTTACAACAACAAAAAAAATTTCTGGTGACAATTTGTACAAAACTCTCACAATTTTTAAGTTATAATGACATGTTTGCATCAAAAAATTTAACAGTGACAACAAGTTCCGACGCTTTTTACCCATTAGTGTTGAATATTTTGTCACAAATGCTCAATTTATGACAATAGAACAATTCGAATGACATAGTTGTCTTCATAATAAATCTGTGCAACACTCTATTCAGAATATTCAAATTAATCTTACAGAAAAGAATAACCTTTTTATATTCTCAATGCTAAAAAATTATGAACTAAAGAAGAAAAAAACAAATCTCTACGTTTACAAACAAATAATGCTTTGCAAAAACAACACATAATTCTAACTGAAGGATGAATAGACGTCATTTGAAGCGACCACCGGTAGTTCCCGCGCGCCACCGTCACCATAAGTGCTACTTGTTTGAATTAGTTGAATTTTGGACTACCATGGTGAACTATACTCAGACTTCCATGAACCATGTCCTTGTGACAGTTCCCTGGAACTATAATTCACTAAGAGCATCACATTCAGAGCCGGTGTCACTACCAGTGCCATGTTCCTGAAGAGCGAAATTTCATCGCTATACTTCCCGGAATCTAACTGGTGCTGTGGCCTACTTTACTCCGTTCGATAGATCCGACCCATCAAAGTCCAATGCTCTTACCACCTAAAACGTTATATTTAGATCAATTGGTTTTGGATCTGGTCAATCCGGATTGGATCAACTCAATTTTTAATTTAGATAAAAGAAGAGATGTCCGATTATATTTATATTATAGATATGTATAACAATCAAATATTTTCAGGTTTAGTAACATTACCAGTGCATCCGGGGCCGCTTTACGGCGGAATGCCGCACACAAACGGCGGCTGCCTCGATCATCAACAGCTCACTTTCTACGTAACGTTTCTCGAGCCGTGGATCAATTAACTCGCTATAATAGCCACTTTCAAGGGCTTGAATGAGTCGAGGCCGTGCCTGTCAAAAGTAAGATACAACAATATTGCTTAATTGAACATCCAAGAAAACAAAACTATGCTGAATTTTGTCAAATTTTGGTTTTGGTCCTTCTATTATACTAAATTTAGGATTAAGTTCATCGGCTTATAATTAATTTTATTAAAAATCTTACCCATTCGACCAAACTCTCCTCCCCCAATGGCTGAGTGGAATCAACGGGTTTTCTCCCTGTTATAGTTCTAAAAGTACAACTCCAAATGAGTAAACATCTGATCTATCTGTTAATTTCCCACTTGATGCATACTCTGGTGCCAAGTACCTGAAGACAAATGAATAAATAGGGGACCAAGCTACGCCAATTTATAATATAAGGGCTTTCCTCAATATATAAATTAAATCTCAAATTCAAATAATAAAGAGATCGGAATCATAATCTAATCCGGTAATTATATTTAAAGAAATGAAATTATCAGATATGATCAAAATTAAATGGTTTGGGGGGGGTTATCTAATTTGTAAAATTTTAAAATTCAAAGGCACCTAAAATGTATTAAACAGAAAAATCATAGGTCAATGTTTTATTTGCTTACTTTCAAAACTAAGAGAGACTTAAAATGTAAATATATCAAAATATAGGAGGTTGTGATCTATTCATCTGGTTTCAAAACTAAGAAAACCTAAAAAAATAATTGAGTTAAAAATTAAGGGCAAGACTTGATTTGTCCAACTTCAAAACTAAGAAGAACCTGAAAATAGCAGGTAAATTACACAAATGGCCACAAAATTATACTAGAATATTCTTTTTAGTCACTGAAATTTCAGAAGTTATAAAATAGTATTAAACTTATCAAACTGTTATAAAATAGTCATTGTACGTTATAAAAAATGATAAAATTGATAATAAAGGATTTTACGATCATTTAAAAAGTGTATGATCATTTTATAAAATTTTAATAATAAAAAAATCATTTCAACATAGTTTAATGATCAGTTATATACTTTAAAAAATAATTAAACTCATGGGAGGCGATTGTCCTTTTCATGTTACACAAACTCCGTCCTTCAATATATTATGTAAATTATATTATACAATGATCAGTAAAACAGCAGCCTAAAACTGTTGAAACCAACATACCCGAAGTCCCATGACTCGAGTTGAAACATGGGTTGACTAGTGTCGTTGAGTCTAGCAGTCCAAATCGGCCACCTGTAATAAATTTGTTTCATTGTAATGAGATTTACACTGTGTGAAGAATCATGTTTAAGAAATTATATAAATTGAGATATGATCCGTTGACATATTGTAAAGTTTAAAAGCTTTATATTTTTTTTTAGTTGAACGATTAAAATAAATGTTTGAGATTTACAGTAATAAATAAATAAATAATTGCAAAAAAAATATTTTTAATTTGAAGTATTAAACTTAGGTAATCTAACGAGTAAAAAACATGCAAAACTTATAAGGTTCTTTATATATATCAAAGGGAGGAATTCATTGCCTGTGCTCGAATCATCGTCCAATAGAATGTTGCTTAATGTCCCTGTGGATATTCTTGGTTGACCTGAAAATAGATATAATAAAGAAAATATGTCAATGTAAAGTTTAAGGGTTAATATTTAATTTAAGCATAGTAGAGGACTAAAGTCATAATTTTACATATAAAATGGAAGGCTTGAAGAGATACATACAATCTTCATGTAAATATGCCAAACCCTTGGCAGCTCCAATAGCAATCTTCACTTTTTAACCCATTCAAGCACTGGCATATCCTTACCTGCTGCACAACGATTTACCGATATCGGGATGAAATCGCAAGGTTTCCATTTCCAGGGGATACATAGGCAAAATAAACCATTTATCTTACCATGCAAATGATGTTCAAGTCTTATTCCCAACAAAATCGTATATGAAGCCTTTGATTCTCAGAAATGCAGTACCCAACCAAAGACACCAAATGCCTGTGATGGATGCGGCTTATGATCTCGACTTCGGCCCTGAATTCTCGATCGCCTTGCCCGCCGACTTTTAGCTGCTTGACGGCAACGGGACTACCGTTGGGCAGTCGACCCCTGTAAACGTACCCGAACCCACTTCTCCGATGATGTTATCGGGAGAACCCGTCGGTCATTTCCATCAACTCTTCGTACGTGAAAATGTCTTGGAGCCGGTTATAAAACCCGACTTAGACTAATGTAAAATTGTCCTGTTTGACCCCCGGAAGTGTATACCATAGGTGATTCTTTGCCACGCACATCTGCATAGTTAAGATCATTGTTAAATTAATAGAACAATTGAAGTAAGAGAATTAAAAAAAGAAAAGGATTAATTTCACGAGGATCCCTAGAGTTTACATCATATTTTAAATTATTCTTTAAACTTTAAAATCTTCCAATCGAGTCTCAAATCGAGGCCGAAACAAAAAACTTTATGTAGGGGCAAATAAAATTATATTTTTGAGGTGCGAAAGCTATAAATTTATTTTAAATTGTTAAGTTAAATACTAACTTTTAGGAGGAAAAAATGAAAAGGAAATGATTAAATTGATACGAATTTGATTAGTAATAAAATATTATATGACGTAAGCATATTTAAAATGTATGAATCCAAATTTAAACATTGAAACGTATTTTATTACCTGATTTCACTTCAAAATTTGCCCCTGGTGACATGTAATTGCCGTGGAGAGCTTCTTGTTTTTTTCTCTCCTCCTGACGATGAAAAACAAGGCAACAAGATCCCGAAAAATGCCCCCCCACCGCCGCGTTGAGAATAACATCATAGTCAGAGTGTGTCGCATTAGTTTCGTTGTGTTTGATTGTTAGAGGAAGATGCAAGACTTGCATTCGAGGAGCTCTGGGGCGTGCTCGATGCTTGGGGAGCTAGCGCTTGATGAGAAGATCCCGGCGATGATTTGGTGGATGCATTTGTTGATGGAGTGAAAAAGTGTGTGATTTCGAGCTTTTGGAAGATGTTGGAGGTGGCGGAGTATGTGTTGAAGTTGGAGGAAGGGAGGGGGACGAGATTTTTCCGGTGGTGATGTTGCTTGGGAGGCGGTGGCGATGATTCCGACGATGGTGGCGACGGTGATTTCTCTTCAGGAGGAGGTGGTGACGGTGGCGGTGGTGATTGTTGCTTAGGAAAGGAGGTGGCGGTGATGGCGGTGAAGGCGATGCGATGGTGAATCCTTATGGGAAGGACTAGGAGGTGATTCAGACGATGACGACGACGGTAGCGATTCCGTAGGAGGTGAACTTTATTGAAGAATCATCGGTAGAAGATACTGAATAAATTTGAATCGGAGTCTGAATCTGATGGTGCCGGTGGTGATAGTCTATCATTCGATTCATTATCGGATTTCGAGTCCTGTTGCGGAGGAGAAGGGCTGGACAACCCCTCCGACTCCGACATTTCTCTTCTCTTCCTCATTCTCCAAAATCCTTCCTATTTTTGTTCCCCCTTATATTTCTATTAAATTCCATAATATATTCTTCCACCAATAAAAAAACACAAAGGAGAAACAATGTTCTATGATCAAATTACCATTGATCTAATGTAGAAAACAAAACTATATTAACCTGTTTTCTTTCACCAAAATCATTTGGATGAAAACACAAGAGAAGCAAGGGAAAAAATACTTTTAGACGATATCAAAAACATTTTATAAATGAAGATGAGAAACACGAATTAGGGTTAAGAATATGGCAAAAACACTCGAATGATAAAGGAAGGATCAAAAATAGGGAAACTCAAGAGAAAAGTGTAGGAAATTTA